GCATCCCCGAGAGGGGGCCTCCTCCATCGGGCCGCGTGGCCACTGCGTCCGGGTGCGACGAGACGGATTTCAAAAGCGAGAATAAACCTTTCGACGCAAAACGTCGAGGGGGGAAAGAGAGAACGCCTTCGGGCAGAGTGGGGGAAGGAAGGAGGCAGGCCGGAGAAGAGACACGTCGATGAAGAACCTGCATTGGCGAGTTTTTTTTTTTAACTAAAGAAAAAAAAAAAAACAGGTGTACGAAAGGGACGGGGTCGGGCGATGCATGAGGCTATGGCCGGAGGAGCGAGTCTCTCGTTCGCCTCGTTCCGTGCTCGAGCTTCACACTCCGACATCGAACTCGGCAGCATGGGAACGGGTCGGAGCTACCCGACGCCGTCTCGTCCGATCGGACGGGGTCGAAACCACCGTCTCTCGTCCCGTCGGGAAAAGAGCTTTATTTTCGTCTCGCGCGGGTTTCCATACCGCCATGCCCGATCCTACATGTCTTTCGGCACGCTTGCTCTCGCGGGAACGCGAGTGAAACTCGAGAAGTCGACGAGTCGGGAGATGCCCGAGACGGAATCGCACGAGCATCTCCGAGAGAGAACCCAAAATCACGGAGTTCCACGTTACGGTTGACTTTTGCGGATCGTGCACGGATGATCGAGTCCTCGTCGTCGCACCGACGGAAAATCCAAACGTTTGGGCGTCTTTTTTATTTATTATCGACGTGGGTTCCACGGGAGTCTTCGAGGCTAAGACAGCTGCGGGGAAGAAACAGCCGAGGCATCGTCGAAAGGCCCTCTCCGTCCCCTGCGGTCCGCGGCCCGTCCGATGTTACGGGTTGCGACCGGAGGAACAAAACGAACCGGGATCGGGACCAGATCGGGATCGAATCGACCGATATGGTGTGGATTCGATGAGACGACCCCAGAAACGGGCAGAACGATCCGTAGGCGATTCGAATCTTCCAAACTTTTCCTCGAGGGAAAGCGAGGATGGAGGAGGAAAATGGGATTCCCCTCGAGAAACCAGGGACCTGTTCCTTGCCGACGCTAAATTCCTTCTAAACCGGATCCGAAGGGATCGTAGAAAGCAACCGCGGGAGTCCGTTGTTCTTCGCCTCGGTGCCGAATCGGCGCACTTGCACACGAAGTAAGGGGAATAAAAACGCTATAACACAACCCCCTCCCCCTTTCCCCCTTTCCCCCACTGAGAGGTTGGAAAGAGGTGGGCCCAGAGTGTGCTTTACTCAGATCCGAATCGTTGATTCTGTCCCGCCTCGCCCACATTCAATCTACTGGGGTATCTCTAAACCGAATCGGAAAGTGGATTTTCGCCAGCTGCACCATGGCAACCGGTGAGAAAAATCTTCGCTGGCGATAGGATTTCCATTCGTTTGCGTGGGTTCATGCCGAGAATGCGAGATCGTAATTCGATAGCCAGCTCCTGGGAGGCCGAATACACATTCCCCACCCACCCCCCCCCTTGGACATTGTGAAACGGGAGTATCAGAGACGACGGGGGTCCATCGACTACGCGTTCTCTTTCTCCTCCTTTGCCTTCGAAAATTCGGTTAAACCACGTCTTTTCCACAATTTAGAACCGAGTCGTGACTCGTCTCCACCGTATTCCAGAAGAGCGTTGCCAAAGTGCGAAGACGCCATAAAGCAGTGGATGTAAGCGAAAACCATATCGGACTTACATCGAAAGGAACATTAATTCATCCCTGCATTTCGACTGGGTCGGACCGGCCTCAAAATATTCCCTCTTTCAGTCGACGTCGGGAGAGGGTTTTCGAAACGGTTCTTCCGAATAAAATCGCACCCATCCGAAGCGGGTAGATGTTTTCACCCTTTTTGTCTTGGTGTGATGTTTGTAATTTGTATAATCCTTTAATTGAATCCAGCATCAGATAAGGGGTTGACATCGGGGGAATTATTGATTTTTCAGCTCCACTCGTGTGAATCCTACAAAATGAGATTTTTCAATTAAAAATATGAGGGAAAAACTTTGATTTTTCCACCAAGATGCTAATGTCCACCGATTAACGAGCAACGCTTTCGCAACCGTTCGATCGGCCGCGAAAAGAATCATCGTCCACCCACGGCCATTCGGCTCGCGAAGGGTCGAAGGTCGAAGGTCGGTCCCGGCACTAGGCGTGTGTTGGGTACCCGGGGTGTCGGTGGTGAGTCCGGGTCTCCCGGGATCGCGAGGAAACCCGAGGCCTCTCGGAGATTCACGACTCATCCGAAGAGCACGTCGAGGAACGTCCGCGCCGAGGTACGGATCGGTCGACTGCGAACGGGGAGAGAAGGATCGCCCCGCTCTCGTCTCGAATCCGGTCGACAGACCCAAACGTTCGAGAACGCCGGTCGCTCGTCGAGAGCGATGGAATGCCCGAGAATGCCACTCCGACGGGTGAATATGGAGCGACTGCTTCACGTATTCGTGGTATGGCTCGTAGCCATCTCTCCCGACGCATTCGAAAGAGACTCAGATGAGACTAATGTGATTTCTGAGGAGGCATCATCGAGGCTCAAAGGAAGCTCGCAGCCGGACTCTGCTTTCGTCTGCTTTTTTTTTTCTCTCTCTCATCGTCGAAGCCTGTCGATTCGGATTTCTGTCGATATTCGATAGAGGCTCGGATACGAAGATACGGATCGGGCGTCGGTGGGGATCACGAGAAAACACCGAGACGAAGGGACGAAGGGACGCAGGATGCTTCGACTTCGCAGCCTCGACGAACGAATCCCGGTCGCAGCGAACGGCCGTTCACAAAACGAACGCGATCGAAACGATGAGCACCGCGGGGCATCCCCCAGGCACTTGGACTTCACCCGTTCCGAGTGGAGACGGGCTCCGGTTCTCGAGCGACGGGCGATACGGGAACGAGGTAGACGGTCGCGCTCCCACGACTACTTCCGCCGTCTCGGGGAAAGTCCGTTTGCCCGATCCGAAATTCCCAAGGAGGCGATACTCTCGATCGCGAACGGCGCTCGTCTTCCCTCTCACCGACGGCCGCGAACCCGTCGGGGCGAGGATCGAAAGGAGATGGGATACGGAGTCTCGCCGTCCGCGAGAGCCACGGCTTCCCGCAGAAGCTTCTCCGGCCCTTCCGACGCATCTGTCGCACGCCCCTTCCGCGAGACTCCCGAAGGAGTCGCGAGGCAGGTTTGAGGCGCCCCATCCCCGAGGCACTCGTCGTTGCTCGCGATGTGGAGCATACTCAAACGCTCCGAGTTTTGTGCTCCATTAAATCGGGAAAGGCAGTCGTCAAATTAATTACTGTACCTGGAATTTTCTTCCGCCTTTGTACTCGTCCAAAATCGGTGTTCGTTATTAAAACTATCAATTATTTCGTTATTACTTCGTATCTATTTCGGAGTTTGCTAATTCATTTATTGGAGCATACATTTTTTAGTTTCTCTCATTTCTCCCAAATACTTGCGATATCTTGTGTTGTGAGTGTTGTTTGCCGCACACTTACGACCTCACGATGGGGAATCATGTGAAATGCGTGAAGTCGGCTCTCGTCAGCAAACTCGGTGAAATACCGAGCTTGTGGCTCATGTCCTCTCAACCCCCGCCACGAACTAGTGGCCTTTTTGGGGAAGGCATGGTCCAACGCATTTTAGACGAATGTCCACTCCCCTGAACAGCAGGGGTGGCTGACATCGATCTGACACTCCCGTGGTCGAAAAATGTGTCATTTGTTATCGTGCAAATCAACGAAGGAGTCTCACTTCGGCTTCTTGTTTCTTCACGCGCCTCAGTCAGTGATCCAGGAAATTTTTTTCCTGACGACAGGAATTGCGTGCAGTAGAGCGTCAATTTTTCGAACTAATCTAAGCTGAAAGTGTTCGGAAGATAAATTTATTCAGTCAATAGAGAAAAATACCAAGAACATCACAGAATATTGCAAATACATCAATGTGATCACATTCAGCATTTTTTTATTTCTTGTCTTCTGTGCATAGTTGGCATAGTAACCAACAAGTTCTCTTTTTTTTTTTTTCTTCTTGCCTGCGTTAATGGCCTTAATGAGGGACAAAATAAATTAAAATTTTCTAGGTATCAACCCACACGAATTTTTTGAAAATGATTCCAACAAAGTTCCAGTTTTCTCATCTACACTATGACACCATCATTGAGTTTGCAGTCCAATCCATACTATTTGTCTACAGTTGCAAGACAACCTATGCTGTGTGTGATGCATAGACTTCTACATTACTGAATCATAAGAACAAATCAAGCTTCACTGATGGTACCTGAATGATAGCATTTGGCTATAAAGTTGTGTCTATGGTCACTAAAGGTTAAGTGACAAGTGTCTGTAGTGGCTAGTAGAATGGCAAGATTGGCAGTCTTTTTTATGATCTGATAACTAAATGTTCAGATAGATGCTTGGAAATTTGATGCTCTATTGCATTCCAAAGCATCAACAGTGGTCCACATGGCATTTAACACCAGTTCAGGACTTTTTCAGTCTTTCTTTTGTCTAATTGTCGGTAATTCTCACCTGAACATTGAAATGCAATAATTAGTTTAGATTACAAGTGTCAGACACACACAGGTCAAATTGTTTCCAGTAAGTTACCAATGCACAGCATTTCTAAGTGAATTTCTAAGAACTTTCTCATCGAGGTGACATTATTTTTGTCCTACTTTTGAGACTGCACCCCATGTGAAAATACAGTACTAATACCATTCACTGATCACAGTGCAAGCTCACTGTAATAAAAAGAAACCCTTCACGTTCAGTAAAATATGAACAAATGGGTGGGTTTATTATGAATGAGAGGAAGCATTGCAACAAGTGGAGATCAAAAAATTGCATCAGAATGAAGCCTGCAACAGGCATAATGGATCCATTGGGGTCTAACCATCCAGCCAGCCAACTCTCATTGGCAGGGGGCCACTGGTAATGCACACCCCGAGACCATCTCCTAGATCAGCAATGGTGGATATTACATGAAGGAGAGGGGGAAAATATCACCACAGAGCAGTATAAAAAAAAAAAAAAAAAAAAAGAGCACCAGCACTGATGGATATCACAGGCAACTTTCTGTTCCTCATGCTTCCTCTCACTCCTTCCAACTATCCAGCAAATTGTCACAAAATGGAATGAGGAACGAAACATCTAAATAGGTCTTACATCCAGAGAGTCTTTGGGGGATGACCGACATTTGTTGGACCAAACACGCTGTTCCTCATATGAAGCAAGAAGATGCTTCCCATACTCATAAGAGGTGATCATGATGGCACATGCAGGTGCCACTTTTACAATTCGTGGAATGAGTCCTGTGAATAATCCCCTGATGCCTTGCTGCTCATACACCTGCATAATGATCACTCTCGTGCTGCGACTTTTCCTTGGCTTGTCTAGAGGAAATAGAACATTCTTGGTGAAAGAAACCATTCATATTTCACAAGGATCAACTTTAAGCCAACCTGAGAAGAAGTCAGTATCACCAAGCTCAATCTGCCTCAGTGTCTTCACCACATCAAATGGAAGTGTTACGATGGCAGCAACCTGACAAGAAAGAAAATCCATGATTATTTCAAAGGCCTTGAAAGTCTACAAAATTCAGAACTCCCATGGAGATGGCTGTCCTATCTATCTCCCACTTTGGTTGTCTGATGATAATTAAAAAATGTTGACATGATTATTGTGAAAATCAATATGACATAAATAATATAAGAAGTTAACTTTTTTTTTACTACCAAATTTGCAACAAAAACTGTTTTTGTACAGAAAATTCTGGAATTGTTCACAGTAGAAAAGGCATGAGTAGTCATCTTTTTTTTCTAAACCTCTACCTGAATACATAAGCACTATGCTCAGTCTATGAAGGGGTGTCACATTATTGATCAAAGCTGCCAGTTCCCCATAGGCAGAGCAGATGGATTTGTTTGCCAAACTCATGTAATGCCATATCACAAGCTCTGGGTACCTGCCTTATCCTTCTGTCTTCTAATAGTCATTGAAAGAAGACCCAATATTTGACCAGATTTGCCCTGCTTTTTTTTATTAATTGATTGAATTTTTAAAGGGTATGACACTGGTTTTGATTGGGTAGTTTAGATATCCTCATAACTGGAGCCAAATCACGTGTCAAAGGTCACAGTGAATGCAGACAGACTTCAGCAGTTATTCTGTCAATACAATCAGGAGTTTTTTAGGTGAGACAGGGGCAGCCCTACAGCCAGCACTTCCCAGATGGGTGGCAATTGAGAAACTTCATTATCTTTTCACTTCATTAATAACATTAATGGCATTTTTCAATGCTTTCCATTCAAATAAATCTCATGGCAGAGAAAATACTGCCTACCCCACCCTGGGGTAGAGCTCAGTACACTCATCAGGGAAGGAACATCTCCATGTTCTCATACATGCAATTTGTGAAAGGCATTTCTATCAATTGCAAATAATTTTCAAAAAAATCTTAATACTTAGCAGGAAAGAGAGGGGGAAAAGGAATGATGATGGCACTCACTGTTCCAGCTGTGGCTCCTGCAATGAAAACCAGAGTTGGTGTAAGAACATGATATCGATCCATGAACATTGCCTTCAGTGACTCATATCCAAGCCAATACAACCCTGATAGGAAAAAAAATACATATGGTTTATCAAGTCACATAGTGTCTGGAATTTTTTCACTTTCAGAAATAATCAAATGTTTCAAATGAAACATGCTGTAATATAGAATGACTCCCTCTGTCATTCTGCCAGTATTGTTGCAGTGAGTTTAATTAAAAAATGAGAGGAGTATGGTTAATAATGTTCACCAGAGAAGGGAACATCTCTTAGAAGAGTTGGAAACAGGCCCTTCCATAAGCCAAGTACTCCTTCTTGCTTCACTAGCAGCTTCAAGGCATCTCCAACATCTGCTGAAAAAAAAGCATTTAACCAGTCACCTCAATAAAATGTATAAGTGAAAAAATAAAAATCACTGGCCTAACTAGACTCACGTGAATATTTCATGCGCTTAGACTGCATCTTGGTTCGGATAAGTTCAAATGGGGATACAACAGTGGTAGCCCATGCTCTGGCACCCATTCCAGCCATCAATGGGATCCATAATGATAAGCTATTAGGCAATGGGGATAGAGACACTGCTTGAAGGGAATTAAATGATGCAGAGGAATCTTTGAATGCTGTGTCCTGCACATGAAGATGGTGATAAGAGAGGTTCAGCACCTTGCCAATGGGAAAGGATAGCAGTATCTTTTATAATGTAAAATGAACACAGGAAAACATAAAGGATATGGAAGATTGGAGGCTTACTTGCTGAGGTTTTTGGAATGGAGAGATGGCAGCTAATTTTTTAGTTAACCATGCCTTCAAATAATCATAGGTAGTGAAATAGAGCACAGTGGTTGGGATAGCTGCCACAAGGGTTGGTGGGAGGCCACTCCAAAGGGATGTTATCCCTTCATTCCTGGCTATCTTCACAAATGCATCCTGGTAGAAGTCAACCTCAAGCATCTAACACATTTATTAAGACACAGATACAAATAATTTTGAACTTGCTTTGATACTCACAATAGTTCCATTGAAATGTCCAGGTCTGGAATACCACATGGCATCAAAGGAGCCAGGAGATGGTGCCCGACGCAAAAACCAAAACCAAGATTTGTTTGATGCTGAAGCTGGAGGTGAAGTAGGCATGCTCCCATTTGTTCCATTACAGTAACATGGGTATAAATGATCCATGAGACCATTGCAATATAAAAAACACTTGTGGCTCTTCATATACTCCGTCTGTTGTGTCTGAAGTCGAATCTTCACGACGTCTAGAGGTGTCACTGATAAAGGAAATAACATATTCAACTATCAATTTCTTTTTATGGCCTGCATGAATGAATGTGTCTGAAGGTAATTCATATTCATGGTTACTACCAATTGGGAAGACAGAAGGGGCATGCAAGCAATGAATGCAGGGGTCTACAGTAGTTACAATAATTTTACCTTCTACATTCATATATTGTTTGATCCTAAAACATTTAGTAAAGAGAATATCATGAAGAAGGTAAGTCAGTATAGAATTCTGGTTAAAACTGGGCCATCTGGTCACCGTACTGTAAAACCGTAAGTGTAGCATGGATGGAAAAATTGGGGGAGGGGGGAAGGCATAGAAACTCTGGGACACTATCATGCATTTCATGAGTTTTCTCCTTTTTTTTGGCTCTTCAAAAAGTGCCCACCTGGCCCCCAATGCTACACCACTGCATAAAACCAATTCAGTTCCTCCAACTACATACCAAGTAAATTCAAATTGAAAAACATATCCTAAGGACTGTGGATGAAGTGAATCTGAGCATGTGCATAGTTAAGCTACTTTTTACAGTATAATACACCAACAGTGACAGGGGAGAAACTCACTGAATGAGGCAGTGAGCATGGCTCCAACTCCAGATGCTACCATTCGATGCCAAGGTTTGAGATGCTCCTCAAAATTTGAATTAGGGTCAAGGGAATGACTCATTTCCCTTCACATTAATACACACAGCATAAGATTACAGACCTGAAAACGAAGGAGAATGGGTAGATCTAATTTCTTCGCACGTGGCCTCAACCAATGTCCAAATCTAACCTGGGACAGCTTCAAGGTTAGGCACTTGTCCCCTCAACAGATTCAATGTTTACCTAGAACTATGGACACTCGAGTCCATGATCACTCCGTTTTTGTTTCGCAGATGATGGGATCACCTGCCCTAGCTTTCCGAGTTAATGCTTGCTTGTTGGCATTGCGGCAAGTTTGCCATTATATGCAGTAAAACGCATTAGTGTCACGTTGCCCTTGTATGAGTCGCCATGATGAATCAACATGGATGCCATATCACATTCCACTTCACTCGTCTAATTCACTAAAGTACTGGGTATTCTCGGGAACATTTTCCATCATACGTTGCGCTTTCTATGTAATAATTCCAATATGACCAGCTGTATGCATTTTGGAGCCTATCCGTGCTACGGAATGGAGGGCGTGTGGAGCCTTCTTTCCGCATTAAAGGAGTATGAAATAGCATTGTGCGTGAGTACCACTTCACGTGATTCACAACTTTTTCCAGGAATTGTTACTTATGCTGAGGTTTGGCGAAGATACTTATCATGATCGTGAGTTCTTTCATTTATTTATTTATTTTTACCTTGCCAGTTTCCGACACTCCACAAAACATTGTCCTCGGTCTAGATTCTTCCTGTTTGCCTCTCTAAAGTGTGAATCCGTTGGAAGGACCAAAATTTCGCTTTCTCATGCAAGCTTATCCTGGATCCACGAGAAACCAAAAAAATTGCTTTATATCCCTTTCATCCGGCGTCTGAGAGCTGATTTCCTCTACTCGGCCATTGTACAGCTTGGCAAAGTATGAGAAGGTGCTTCGCGCCCTGAGGTTCAGTCCCAAACAAGAGGGGGGGGGGGGGGTTTTCCGAGCGCTGGGCAAATTATGGACTGTACCAGGATCAATCTTTGAAAATTTGGACATGTTCGCAAGTTCTTGTTGATTTCAACAGGTACCTACCTCGTAAATCAAGTGTCATTCGGCCACTTCACAGTTTCTTGCTATTTAATACTCCGTACTTATTTCATATCATTTACAGAAGTAACTTCTCGGTCAGGAGGAGGGGGTGGGGTGGAGGCGGCGGACGCATTTAGACCAGAGTTTGGAGGCTAGAACTAAACCTGGGGGGGGGGGCCCCCCCCACCCCCCCTCTCCCTACATCACTGGTAATTTTGCGTGATTTCAATTCATGATCGCAATGATCATGCGCGCGTGTTCACATGGTTCAATATGGTGACACAATAGAAATAGGAAGCAACAGGGATGCTTACATCGCCTTTTCACCAGACATAATCGCTGCCACTTCTTGATTTGGAAGCACCCTGGAATACTGCATATCTTTATTATCAATTATAATCCTCAAATCGCAAGCAACGTGTGGAATAATTAATAACATAACCAATTATCCATAGTCTACATAACAATTCGGTGATGTAATCTGTATAAATCACTGTGATTTCTTGCAAAAAGAAAATGCCTGCCCAATACACAACACTACAGTACTTAAAGATGGGGTTTAAGAAGGTGCAGAGAGCCAAGGATGTCACCGAAGAGGATTTCCAACTGGGATGAATGTGCAATGACTCCAAGGCAGCTCACCTCAACTCCTCTATCAAATTCCCCAATCTGGTGAGTGGATGCAAAGGGGGAAAAAAGATTTTCTCCTAAAGTAAATCAAATGAAAGGTGGATATGGAGACAAGGAGAAAGACACTGACCAGATGAAGTGAATCACACAAGACAAGCCAAACTTTGATCAGCTGCTCCCGAGCTGCAATGCTCACAAAATGGTCTCCCTGGCCATCCATACTCAAGATCTTGAGGTCCTTCACTGCACTCTCATGACCTCTCTGTACAACCGACAAGACTTGGCCTTTGTTTCCAAGCAGACAAATGCTTCCATCATGGTCTCCAAAGACAATCCTTCCATCCGGAAGAGAGAGCATGGCTTCCACGACTGCATCCCAATGGTGTATCTCCTTTGCCTCACCCAGTGTGTATCTTTCCTTCTTTATTTCATTTCTTTCTCTGGAGAGATAGGATGCAAAGCATGAAGCAAGAGAAGGGGAAAGCGGCAACTAAGTTGGCAAAACCTGACTCACAGAGTGGAGACATTGATGCCACCTGAAGATGATGCCATCCACAATTGGCCAGAAGGAGACATTTGCAATGCCGATACCCATTCTCTCGTAACAATGACACTAGAATCCAGAAAAAATTGCAGTGGTGAAGTTTTTGTTAAACCCATTCTTCCATGTAGATGAAGCTACCTGCTACCCACTCAGGGAAGAAAGGAGACTCACGTGGGTTTAGGAGAAAGAACATTGGAAACATGTAGAAGGGATAACTTCCCAGAAGAATGGGTCAATATGATGACTCTATCAACTCCATCACTTCCCTGATTACCTCCATTCCATGCCCTAAAGTAGGAGGCAATGACCCCACCTTCCACAAATCCATCACAAGCCAGTTTTATCTCATCGGTTCTGCTCTTCCAGAGATTAATGGCCCCTCCAACTGACACAGAGACCAATAGTGGCTCTTCAGCAGCATTATGGATCCAATGAATCCCTCGAACAGAATGAATATGTCCCTGTGATAAAACACATTCACTCAAATGGCCATTCTAAAGGTCAGCATCGTTGCAGACATTTATCAGGCAAGAATGGAGACATTCTCACATCAGAGACAGAGACAAGACTGATGCAGTCTTCGTGAGTCCTCTTCCACACCTTGATCTTACCATCCTCGTGCCCTGAAGCAACCCAAATCCCATCCCAAGACACATCCAAGCAGGTCATGGGAGAATGACTGGATACTTCCTCATGGGCTTTCTCCTTGACATGATGCACATAGAGAGAGCCACGATCAGACACTGAAAGACAACCTCTGTGTCCAACTGGATGTATGTCTCCCACCCGGCTCTTATGACCCAACAAAATCTTTTCCTGGGAGGCCTATGAAATCAAGGGCAACCTTCATCATCCTAATTCAATCATACATCTTCAAAAAGAATGGGCCCCCTGGAGACAACCTGATGAACATCGATGAGATGAACACCATCATGCCTCACAATTGCCACTCTTCCTCCTCCCAATGTCTCCTGCAATTCTTTCTGTTTCCTCAGCTGGTCTTTTTCACCATCAGAAAGCAAGTCTTCATCCATCTCTTCACACTGAATCCTTGAGTCATCCTGATTGGGAGTGTCTTGGGAACAAAGAGATCCGAGGAATGCTGGACGAGTATCAGGGACACCTTGTAAACATGTCACCTGCACCCCAGCTGTTGTCCACAGGATGCTTTTCCCATCTGTTGATGTACTCAGGAAGATATTCCCCTGTCAAATTCATGTGAAAATTGCATCTGTCATTCCAGTTATATTATATCATTGAAAACATCAATTGGTCAACATATCTCCACCAGTTAGTGAGAAATCTGCCCATCCACTCTTTCCAGAAGAATGATGATTGAATGGCTCCTTTAATACATTTCAAAAACTTGTTTCATATTTATCCTTCAGTTTAACTTCCTCTTGGCAGATGGCTTCTCTATATACATTGCTCCAGCTGGATTCCAGCATTTCCTTGGACTCCTCTCTTGTTTTATTAAAGAACACATTCAGGTCTGACGTGCATGCACAGAGTCAAAGTCAATATGAAGCTGTCCCTCTCCCTTCTCTCCAGTGGAAGACTATACCTAGGGAAGCTGCCTTGTCTTCTACACAATCACTATGTGTACTTTTATGTTATAGCTTGTCTTGTCTCCATTTCAGATCCCAAGAATTTGAGTATTTAAAACTATTTAAAGCACTATTCCCACCCAGGAGGAAGCCTTTTGAAAATTTCCCTCCTGATGTGGATGGAGAAGGGTGCATTCTTGTTCATAGAGGATTAAACTGAAGGAAAAACAATCTCAGATACCCTAGTTGTACTTCAAGATGCAGACCTGAACAAGGATGGAGGAAATAGAAGCAGAATGTGCATGGAGTCGATGACAGATTCTCTCCCGCTGAAGTTCAAATATACAGATGGAAGATTCTCGAGATCCAGTGAGAAGAAGATCCTTGTTGCGAGATTGAGCCCATGCCATCCCTTCAATCCAGTCTCCATGAAGGCCTTCCAACCGATGCCTCACTTTCCATTTGCCGTTGATTTTTTTCATCTCCCAGATTGTGATGACCTTTAAAGAAATAAAGAAATAGAAAAATCTACACTTTTCCTGCTCAATGTGCACATGTAAAAATCTCGAACAACCTACCCGATCCTGAGATGCAGCAGCAAGAAGGCCTCCATCTTTTGAGATGGCAACTGCAGTCACCCATCCATCCACGAACAGTTTTTCTTTTTCTTCTAACAAACTTTCAGGACTCAGTCCATACATTGTCACTGAACCATCCATGCCACCTGAAATATTCAGATGTCATATCCTCATCTCATACAAGTTGGATCAACCAAAGAAAGGATATGTGTGAGGATCACCAATGATGAGGGTTTGGCTGGAGACTGTGATGGACTTAATGAAGTCACAAATCACATGACTCCTCAAGTCAAACCCCTTCTTTGAGACAAGAAGCATGTAGATGTTGGACATTCCTGCAATGGCTACCAAATATGATGCATCAAAGAACCCAACATATGAGACAAACTTGTTGAGGTTCATCTTCACATCCCAGGACTTTCTTCCACTTTGTATGAGCCTTAATGTCCCATCATGATATCCAATAGCTGTGAGTTCTCCATAAAGAGCAACACATAAGGGACTTCCACCTGCTGCAGTCCGATGAATCCTTTCTGTTCTTCCCAGCTCACTTGACCAAGCCTTAAAAATGATACATTAAGTATCTCCCTAGAAGCTTTCAATTCAAACATGAAGGAATAAATGGGGTTCGCACTTGCACAAGTCCATGCTGTGTCCCAGTGAAGATGAGGGAGTCATCTTGAGAAAAGCAAACAGAAACAATGGAACCAGAGGAATCCAGGACCCCAATACATGTGCCCTGAAGAGCACACCAAAGCCTCACAACTCCATCAAGTGATGTAGATACCAAGCGTTTGCCATGGGAGGCGATTGCCACCCCACGAATGGAGCTCCCATGACCTCGTAACACCTTGGTTTCAAGAATAACATGAAATCAAAATGAGGAACATTTTATGTTTTCACTGCTCATACTGAAACACTGCTCACAGCCTTGCACTGATAGTTGACAAGCTCCCAAATCTTGATGAGTCCATCCCAACCACCAGTGATGAGCATGTTCTTCTCTGGGTGCATTACAGCACATGTAAATGGCTTTGCATTCTTTCGGATAGTTGACACTCCCGTGCAAGAATCTCCATTCCAGATCTAAAAGAATTAAACCATAGACTGGATGTCTTCAATAGACACTGCATGAAAAAAAGATAGAACTAAGTATGTTAACCTTGATAGCTCCATCCCAGGCAACAGTGACAAAAGTCATGAAGTCAGAGCTTGACGATATGGCTGTGATGCGTGAGGAGTGGGCAGAAGGAATGGATGTAATGCGATGTCCTGCCATGGTATCCCAGATGCAGAGGAGTCCATCATGGGAGCCAGAAGCCAAACGACTTGGTCCAATGTATGCTAGGGCAGTGATCTTTGATCCATGACCAACGAGTCGATGCTGCCTGTGACCAACTACAAGGTCATAGAGGTATAGGACTCCTCGGTTATCACCCAAGGCTCCCTCCTTCTCATCCAGGGATACCGCACAGCAATTTAAGCTCTGCAAGCACTCATACTAATATAGCCAGGAACATGATAAAGCATAAGTGTTTAAAAATAATTGATGAGGTGGTTGTACCTCAGAAATTCCAGATAGTCCAAGTTCAATAGGTTCTTGTTGTTGGGGTTTTGTTATCCATTCAAGAATCAATTCAGAAGACAGGCCATGTCGTCCCTGTTTTCGTTTTTGGATTAAAACTTTTGCATCTTGAGAAACAGGTGATGAGTCTGGTTCATTCAAGGCTCTCTGCAGGAATCTTCCAGTTGACCTGATGAGAGAAGAGAGTCACAACTCTCACACGAATTCATGCATGAGTGGAATAAGAATAGGAGGCTATAGCCTGTCTAACCACTGAGTGGGACTGGAGCCAGCAACTGATGACATAAAACTTTGGAAGGCTTTTATGCGAGGATCATCTAAGAATCTAGCATGCTTCTCCCTATCCCCAGTTTTCATCTTGGGTCTTTTATCTTTCTCTCGGTCAGGAAGGCAGAAGTCCTCCATGAGCTGTGACCCAAGGCTTGCCTGGCACTTTGCTCCCAGATACCTTTGAAACCAAAAATGTACAGAACAAGAAAATTTAATAATTTTAAGCATACTCTTTTTAATGGAAGGCAGGACAATCGCAGCATGTGCATAAGAGAAAAAGACAGTAAGCAAGGGGGAGGTCTTGGCACAAACGCGATAATGTCAGGAAAGATACTTTTTATCTTTCCTGTTTGTGCAGGGAAGAAAATAATGGATCAGAGCACCATGAAGAGATGAATACATGTCAGATTAACCAGCTACAATGGTCATGCCAAGCCTTAGATATACTGATATGGATCATATGCTTGCCTGAGATCAGTGAGGATTGCAGCAAGAGAAGAAAAGTCCTCTCCATAGCATAGATGATATGGTAGTAGAGACAAAAGACGATGATGGTCTACTGGGTTCATTCCAGTCCTTGTCTTCCCCTCCTCCATTTCCAGCCAATAGTAACCTACTCATAGAAAAGAAGTTTGAGAAACCTTGTCCAGTTTTGGGCTTTCTTGTCCAACTAGGTTGGGCTAAGTAATAGAATAATGTAATATTATGAATTGCACTTCTGTAACATGACTGCTGCTCAAGAAAGAACACTACAATGTTTCTAAGTGGAGGCATACACAGACCAGCAAGAATCCGGTGAAATGGCACCAGAGAGGACGATGTTGCACTTTTGACCACCTGAGCATAACGTAATGTCACAGCATCCCTCACATCTTGGTGGACAAGTGAATAGCAGCTGTCAGCCTTGCCTTGAAGGACAGCTTTAAGAGCATGTGAGATTCCAAGAAATTCCAATGCAGGAAAGGTGATTTTGCATCCCATTAGGTCTTTCCTTGATCTATCCTCATGAACAGCAGCTACTGAAATTCTAGCATCTTTGAGGGCAAGGAGGTCATACAGCTCCTTCTCCATTAGGCCTGCATCAACACATGGGTGACAACTTTTCAAGTGACAAAAATTCAATGAGTGAGCAAGAGCAATAAGATGGAGATAATGTAGGGACCTTTTGGAGAGACAAGGAGGATAGAGAAGAGGAATCTCATAGTCTCTACACCATACTCCTCTTCCAGACGAGACAGGACATCTTGAATGAGTAATGGGATGGTGGAGCCCAAGCGATGGATTTTACTTGTCACCTGAAAATGAGTTCTATTTAGGAACACTTCATAGCATTGCCTAGAGGGTAAGACTTAGAGGACTAACCTGCTCATAGGAAGGAAAGAGCCGCAGCTCCTCACACACAAGGACAAGATAGAGCGGGGAGCCAGCAGCTCGTTTTGTTGTTACCAGCCGCAGCTGGTTCTCAAAAGCTGACTCATTCAATGTTTTTCCAAATGATCTCAAGTGCTCCCTCACAAGTTCTCCTCGTTCCCCTTTCTCCAGAGGCAGAAGAGAAAGGGCGAATGCTGGCCTCAGGTGCTCCACAAGCATCACAGACTCACCATCATGTGAACTGGCACTCAACATGATCACAACGCCCTAAATCCATCATGTTGAGATGAAACACTCCATATCGTGCTTTAAAAAATGAGATATTTGTATAATAATGAAAAATACTCACAGGAGGAATGGGAGAGGGTATCCAATTGTCACGAAGGAGCCATGCTCCATCTACAATGATCACCACCTTCCCTTGGTTTTGTGATAGGGCAAGGAGAAGTTCAGGGATGGCAAACACTGGGTCACGACTAACATCAATCACCTCTGGATCCACCTGGGAGATACGAAGGAGTTCCGCAAAGAGCAGAGACATAGCTGCCATGGGATCTCGACCAATTTGAGGCACAATGGCATCTGAGAACAGGGGAATTATCCTCTTTACGATTCCTTCTTCTTCCAGTCTCTTCGAAATGGCTGCCTGAACAAATAACACATGAAAGGAAGCACATTAAGAGTGGCATCATTCTTTGAGGAGAAAATGTTGACATGAAAGTGAGAGGAATGTGTTCCAGCTAACCAGGAAAGAGGTCTTCCCTGAACCAGGTGAGCCTGTGACAGAAATGAGTCCTCCGATTCGTAATAAGCGTTTCACCTGACTCAATGTTTCCTTCAATACAAATTTTCTACCGACATACTTCTCTTGTCTCTCACTAATGAAAGGTGCTTGGAATGCCAGCATGCTCCCATTACCTTTTCCTTCCTCCTCCTGAAAGTTTAAAGCGGTTATCTGTAAAATCTTCCTGAAAGTTGAAAATGACTGTCCATCAATGCGAAACATGAAGAGCAAAAATGATATGATGTTGATAAGCAGTGGAATTGCTTACAGACTGCAAAGGAGAATACAATCTGGAGAGAGCATTCCAGAGAACATCTAGAGCCCTGCATGCAAAGGCTTCCAGCCCTGAGAGCTTAGGTCGACCATCCTGGCTGAAGCCAGCAAAGTGTGCTGGGTAACCATCAAACACTTCCAATCCTGATGAACGAACTTCTACTTTCAGTCTCTCTAGTCTTTGTTCTTCATTTGGATCTTGGGTCTGGAAATCCTCTCTCAGTTCCTCTGGAATCTCTCTGGAGGCAAAAAGAAACACCTTGCTGTCAAGAGGCACTACTATAAGGCCCTGTAAAGTCACACCATTTGAATACATTGTTCAAATTCTATATTCTTCATTCTTGACATGCACTTTGACAGGAAGGTGCTATTCTCCAAAGATTAGTGCCAACAGCAATGAAAAGTATAGGGAAAACATCTCTCTCCAACACCCCACTAAGATTAACTCCAGTCAAAGTGTTAATGTTTGTTGCTAACCATCAACAAATGTTAACACTTGTTTTTAATACCGATACAAATTGTAAATACTGACACCAGCATATGAATTAAATCTTGGAGTTATTCCTCATGTCAGAGTAACACAATGGAGTTGATGCAGTATCTTTGACTTTGAACAAGCCCATTGTGTCTACAAGAGTCCTATATTCTCTGGTAAGAAGACTTGTAGGGGTGCTGCTTATGAGTAAGAGAGGATATGGCTTAATGCTATCGTAGCCACTCAAACGGAACAGCCTCTTGAACTATGTTTTCAGCTGCAGCAAATTATGAGCTGTGCCTGACATAAAAAGAAATGGGGAGGGGGGGGGGGGGCTGAGAGGACATGAAGAGGTTTCTCTTGAGCCCCTTCTCGGGGAAATGGAATGGCCCTCATCCTCTGGCACTTTTTCTGGTGCAAAGAGAGGATATAACCCAGCGATGTGCAACCTTTTTTGACCGTGGGCCGCAAGTGAACCTTTTAGGTTCCCAGCAGGCCGCATGTGTTTTGTTGTTGTTTTTTTTTTGTTTACTGAATGCTTTATGCCTGCTGAGTACCAAAATAATCCCAAGCATGGCTTAGTAAACCAGGTACTAAAATTGTAGATGCTAATGATGTGCAAATAACTAATTTATCATTTTTCTCACCTTTTCTACTGAGCAAAATACCAAGCAAGCCGCTTGCTCAGAGAGCAGTGATACACTGATTAGGAAGAGAGTGAGGGGATATTTGCTGCTGTGGCTTTTATGTTTTATTTCTTGCTTCCTTTTCTCCTGCAGTGAGCAACGGAATCCTAGAGCGCACGTGCGCTCTACTCCGGATGACATGAAAGGGGGAAAAAAATTCAGCTGGCAAAGCCCACGCGGGCCGCGGGTTGCTCACCACTGATATGACTCATCTCAGCCGATTCCACACATTGAAAAATGTGGGGTACACAGTTCCAACTCACAAAATGAAATCTTAACAGCTTCACAGGCCGGAACACACCCCAAAGTGATGCCATGCAACTTTCCGTAGTTTTTGGGAGACTTTTTAGAGAAGCAAACTCTACCAGTGCATGGGCTTTTCCAATATTTCTGGCTCATCGATGAAATTACTTGAGAGCAAAACTCTCGTATGCATGGGTACGATACTAGGCCTACTTATGCCAAAATCTCATAGTTGAACTCTTGGTTTCTAAATAAATAAATAAAAATGTAAAATCACCCATAGGGTTTTTCGCATCCATCGTAAGGGTGGAACCAATCCTACCGCTTCCGTTCAGGCAAGAGTTTGGAAGAAAGACAATAAAATGAAGAATAAAAAAAAACTCCGCATTTGAGAGTGAAACGGCGAAAGGACTACTCTGCCATTCCAGCCAGAAGGAAACCCCAGGACACCCTCGGAAAAGAATCCCTGGCTACAGTCCTGGTCCCACGCGGTTTGGCATGCGTACGTCTGAACACGTAAAGGGAATGCCCGTGCGTAAGAATCTGCTCTTCACGCTGTACTTTCAACTGATAACAGAATGGAGGATAGTAATAGAGCCTCATTGAAGTAGCGAGAGGTGATCGAATTCTTCGCGAAAGAAGGGAAATCCGCGATGAACATTCGTGGCGGTATGCAGAATGTGAACGGTTAAAGGCTGCATGACTTGAATGCGGGTGAAAACACGAAGAGGGCGTTTGCGAGCAGATGATACGAGAATCGAGCAGAACAGGCGTTTCCCCGAGACATTCCACGACGAGAACACCTGTTAACAAACCTGTTCATGATTTGATCGAGGCCGACAGGCGCATAAAGATTTGGAAATTGCGGCGCGGGGTACCCAAGGTGGTCGAGTACGATTTTGCCTATCGCGTCGCGTCCAATGACCAGTTGGGCCGCAATTTCACGTATCTTTATGGGCCTGTTGGCCTCGATCAAGTCCTGAACAGGCTGGGGGTTATACAGGTGTTCCCTCTAGTGAAGGGTCTCGGGGAGTGCTTATGACCCTCGATGTCCGTATCATCTGCTCTCAAACGTCCTACCCATGTTTTCACTCTCGGGTTGCTCGTGCAAATACTAACGCTCACGTTCTGCATACGGCAATGAATATTAACCGCAGATTTTCCTTCTTCCGAAAAAAAATGTAATCACTGCTCGTTGCTTCGATAATACTCTATTACCATCCTACGTTCTGTTTTCAACTGCAGACAACGTACTGCGTGAAAAGTAGATCTGTATCTACGGATATTCCTCACACGGATTCAGACGTACGCACGCTACACCACGTGCGTTCGTTATTTTTAATTGCGGAGAAAAATAAATTAAGGTTCGAAACTTTCAGAACACCCCTCGTACCTTCTGCTTCCTCACTTCTGTCAATGCAATTTGCCAATGCAATTTATGCCCACTGACTGGAAATGAAATCCTTTGGCACTTTTTTTTTCTCGTTGCTGCATGCAGTTAGGACAAACTTGGAAAATAGCAGTAGATTGTATTGCTATTTTTCAAGGATATGCAACCCATAGCAATTTAAATAAATCTTAAGTTACATCCTTTATGCCTCCGGATTGCAGTAAGGAGATGGGAAACATCGTGTAGTTCAAAAGGAGTAGTCATGGTCACTCTATATGAAATAAATCTTATGCGAGAATTAAAGCGACCGGAACATGGAACCAGGTTTATAACCTCCTGAAATTAATTAATCCCAATTGAGTGCGGTCTCTCGGTATATCTCAAAAGGATCTCACTTGATGAGCTGCGGAGTTCGAATGAAGAAGAAGGCCCTATTCATGGCCTCCCTTGGGTGAGAAAGGGCGGCATATGTAATTTCCAGTTCTGTCATCGACGCCCCGGGTGGATGAAGACCAACCCATTTCAGGTCATCGTCTAAGTCTTCTATCCACTTTGAGGATGGAACCCAACCGTAGCGATCTCCCAGGATTCCCAGGAACAGTTGACACTTCTGCACTTCCTCAAGACACAGTTGCAAAGATCTGCGAGTATTCGATAGAATAGTGGAGTAAGTAAAAAAAAACACAATGGAAATGGAAAATTATCACAACTAAAGACAGGCAAATGAGGTATATATGGGATGAAATGAGGAAAGAAATGAGGGGAAGGGGAAAAAAACCGTTTGGAGCAGGCTTGTTCCTCGGTGATGCCCCAACGAAGGTCGACGGGAAGGACATGGATCCTCAGGGCCTTAGCCCTTCTTTGAAGCTCTGGGAACACAACTTGGGTCAGAAGGTCCCTCTCTGAATGCATGTCCCGAAATGTGGATGAAATGAACACACGCACCATGCGCCATCTGCAAGAGGATCACGTTATCGTCACCTCCTCTGCAAATATTTAATTATTGACCAAGATATGGCATGATGACAGATTAGTGACACACCGTGGAGGTAAGATGCGAGGTGATACGAGGTGAGGTGAAGCAAGGAGAGGGGGTTTTGGAATGGGTTTCAGGTTAAAACGTTTGTCAATCCCTTCCACATGAACTACTTGACCTCTCTTGTTCCCTATCTCTCCAATGAACCTACAACAGATAATTCGGAAATGGATCAAAACTAGTCGTTAGAACGACACAAAAAAATTAAGAACAACTTAGAAAATAGGAAAACCTGAGAATGTGTTCACTGAAGCCAGCCAGGTAGATGTCGTTCTGAGAGTTCTGGTTCCGGATGTCCACACCTTTGACTCTAGACCACAAAAAAAAACAAGATAAATTAAATAATGGAATACTTCAAAACCTTTTATCAAACGCGAAAAAAGGGAAATTCAATGACTTGGGTTTTGGAGCAGAGAGGTTTAGATGAACGAAGAGAAGATCAGGATTACTCAGGTGTCGTATCTTTTTCACCGCATTTCTTATCTCATCTGTGCATTCATCGCCTCGAATCACGACAACACGATCGACCTGAAAGATAAAAGAAAAACATCTGAGTCTTCCCCTCCGATCATCTTCCCTCTCATGATTCTCTTCCCTTCTCACTGATTAATTACTTCCATGGGCCACTATTCCTTAGTCATGGTGCATTAAGGACTGCCCCCATAAAAAAGGCCATGCATCACTCTATCGCTTTGTTACTAAATACAACTGAGGGGGGCAGTCAAGCATGCATGACAGCCTGAAAATCGATGCTTGGAAACATCCATCACCTGAAAGAAGGTGTATATTAGCATGCGGACGCGTATTACCAAGGGGCGACTTAAAGCCCAGACCGACTTGAAGTAAAACCGACGGAGGAAAATGACCCTGAGGGGGCAGTGAGGACATGAGGATGCTTTCAAGAGAGGGATTATAAAAGGAAAAGCTCCAATGTAGAGTGGGGAGGATTCAATCTGAGAAAGCCCATAGCCCTGTGTCCCATGGCCATGAGTCAACTACCACTTCCTCATCGGAGGGTAAGGATAGAGAGAGAGAGAGACATAGGGAGAGAGCAAGAGCGAGGGAGTGAGAGGCAATAATTACATGAACGCGTCTGCATGTGAGATGAACATCAAGGGGGGAAGAGATTAAAGGGGCCAAAGCAATGGCAATAGCGCTCTGGTTCCCCTTTTCCAAGCAATAAACCCCACGGGTAGACGGTCACACTGTAAAGGCCATGGGTTGGGGTGGGGGAGGCAGAATGAAAGAAAGAGATCATGACGTGGGGTTCCCATCAATCTCTCCTTATCTCCCGATGCTCTCCCCTTCCCATTCCCATTCCCTTGGCATCTTCTCCCGATCCCTTATCTTCCGAGGATGGACGAGAAGCAAAGATGCTGATGTCCAACGTGCATGTGCGGGGAAATGACTGGAAAGTTCCTTTGTTGACACCCGGACTCGGCCTGGCATGCATAAGTGGAGGAGCTTTAATGAGGATGTCAATAGGGCCAGAGAGACAGCATCAGGAAACCAGCGCATGCGTCGAATGACTGCCAATCGTGACGGAGGGGATTCGGCAGGGACAGGGAGATGTACCGGGACGCGAGTCAGTCAACCGCTACGCATCCGCATGGGCGGACTCACGCTCGAGAATAGCAGTAGCAAATATGTGTAGGCAAGAAACACACGCCCCACGATGAGATGATCACATCTCCTCTTCATGTGAGTTCCATTGCTCTCCTCGCTTCTACAGACTCCTCGTTAAGCACCCCCTTCCTCTCCAAATCGAATTTTCCTATTTGAAGGCAATTGGTAACGTGCGATCAAGAATTAAAAAAAAAGTGCAAGTAATTAAAATTCAGCAATGAAATTCCTAAATTATAATATCTCATTCCGCCTCCAATGTTTTTTTTTCTCTTATAGATGAGGTTGTGTCTGGTGTTGGGATGGAGTTGGAGTGTGTTGGTACTGGGGAATCCGCCATGTCCGTGGAATCCCCGATGCAGCTGTAGTAAATCGGGGCCATCGGATTTAGGGGAAGTGGAATGCGACGGGAAGGCCTCTCCACTGTTGGACATCCCCTCGGAACTCAACAACACCGGCGTGTACACCCTTCGCATTCAGGACAACTACCTTCCTCTTCTCCCTCCTAACAGGCTCCATGGAACCGGCAAGTCTTCCCTTTTTAGTCAGCCTCCTTTCGTGAAACGAGGAAAAAAAGCTCCTTTGGCCCAGGTGTCTAGCGTGTGTGCGTGTCAACGCGAAGCATTCGTCGACGTTTGTGGGACTAAGAGTAGACTCTAGTATTTTGTTCAAGTATTGTACCCACAACTCACAAATGTAGTAAACTTGAGGTTTATTGGGTTTTCAAAAATTGCAATCCATTAACAAGTTTTATTATAATTTGCAAAAATGTGACAGTTCGGAAACTCGTAGCGGAGCATGGTGGTGGTAAAGTGGATGGGAAAACCACCTCAACCATCAACCATATTTTCGCACACCCTTTAGACGTCTAGTATCCTCCTACCACTCCCTTTCGTTATACAATCCCCTATCATTTCGCCTGTGCCTTCTATTATGGCACCGTCAAAGGATGGTCGCCATGAGACTGAGATTGTCCAGGCAGGGATTGGGTCCTCTTCCCCCAGAAGGATATGGGTTTCGAGCGCACAATAGGTACAAGTCGAGGAAAGGAAGGTGCGGCAGAGTTAGGACTTCAGATGTGCGAATCGCGTGATTCTGTATTACAAGAGGGAGAGTTGATGGAAAGATGACGAGAGGGCAGGGTAACGAACGTGTTGTCTTTTTTTTTCACTCCTCGCAACCCCGGGTGCTTTTCCTTCCATCCTTCATGAATAATTCAGCGTTGAGTCCCGTCTTTTCTGTCATCTATCCCTAGGTCACGATTTTTTCCATCTCTATTCTGGTTCCTCGACTACATCGATAATTAACTTTTTTTTTCCTTTGCGCCCTTGCGTCCCTGCTCCTGTCAATTCCCTTTTCAAGTCATTCAATTCTATTTAACTTTCATGTCAACGGTTACACTCTCATGGCGCACACGCAAGGTGACGAATGAATAAGGAATGTAAATTTATTTCTCCGTGAGTTTATGGGAAAATGGCGCACAAATGCAACAATGGACCGTATCCAAGAACCTATCACTTGATAACCTATTACATGGTAGCTATCATGATAGATATCAGGCGATAGGTCTATAATTTCCTAGGTTCCGTATGCAAGAACAATTAATAGGTATCCATCGTGAGGCCTATTTTGATAGGTATTTTATACCTATCATGATAGGTATTTGTGAATCTTCCTGATAACCTTCTATCCATCGTCTTGCACCCGGGAACAATGTCATATGTATCTGCTCACATGACTGACCAGTGTTCTGTGATGATTTAATGGCATTAATCTTACCCCCCCAGACTAGTGCTTGAATTCCGATTGCCGTGGCTTGATACAAAGAACTCAACGGGGTTTAATCTATCCCAGAGTATCTGCGCTCGGCGCAAGCTGCGACGATTCACATAACTAATCGGGTTAGCAAAATGCGCTGCAATCCACCCTGGTAGCCTGTTATAAGCAGAATAATTGTTCTTGAATACGGAACCAAGGAAATTATAGACCTATCGCCTGATACCTTGAAAATTCTGCCCACTTCATCTTTTCGCGAAGAGCAGCATTTTCATGGGGAGCTTTGGCCCGAGATTTTTCGCGCTACAAACTACTCTTCCGCTGTTACGTTTCCTCGCGCTAAAATAAAATTCGAGTCGCCTTCGCGTTTTCGCTCCTATGCTGAAACAGCTGAAGAAAAACGAACAAGAATTCAGGACATTTCAAGGATACGTAGAAGTCGTTGCAAAAAAAAATTGCCGTAACATCTTTTATCTCATGAACTCCAATGAATCTCAAAGAGCGGCGCGGTTTTTTTGTTGTTGTCTCACCCGGTATCAAGACGGGACGACATTTCCGCGCAATCACACTCTCACTTTAAAAAAGCCCGTTTCTACCCCCTTGTCTTGATAATAGTAGCCCTACGTGAAGACTCAATAGCCGTCGTTCAGGCCTCCCAGCTTCGTCTCCAGAGCCACCTTGGTCAACCTCGAGAGATAAAGGGATTCCTTCAGTCGAAACACGAGAGCCCTCTCATCTCCGAGAGATTAAAAGGTCACTTCATGAGTCATCGTGGCGATGGTCCCTCTTAACTCTATTCTCCTCTGTAAAGGAATTCCTTTCACGGGAGGAATGCGAACGGAAATAAATAGGAAATTGCTAGAGTTCCGGAATCGATTACTGAGCAAAAGAAAGAGCAATGGATTGTTTCGATTGCATCTTCTTTCTTTGAACCTCTGGTCAGTTTCGGTCGCTCTGGATGCACAACTCGTTCATGAATTCGAAAGACAACAGACAGCTGTTTGTCTGTAGAGATGGAGGTCATTAACCACTTATGTGATCCTCATCGCACCGATTTTTCCTCCCTCGGACATTTATTACTCTCACAGATGAGAAAGAGTGCAATTAATGAGAGGGGGAAGAAACAGAAGGGGTCATATATTAATCGACCCTGGTTCTCTACAGTCTCCGTAAGCAGTTTCCTGGTAGGGATAATTTTTCCTTCCTTAACTGCCTGTGGTTAAATTTTAGGACTGTGGAAGTTGGTGGTGCGAAGGTGTGGAATGCGAGAGGTATCGGAAGAAGCATTCTCGGGTCTACACCGGTCCCTGTGGCACTTGGATCTCTCCTACAATCGACTTTCTCAAATCCCAACCGATTCCCTCGCCTACCTCAGCAAACTCAGGACCTTGGATCTCTCCGGTATTGGATCTCTCCCCTTGCCATTTTCCATCGAAACGAACTATCTCGAAAACTACTTGGAAAGAAATTTACTATCACAATATCAGGAAACTAATCTTAAAGCAGCATAAATTGACGTAGTACTTAATAATTACGCATAAATAGCTTGGCCAACTATAAATAACTTACTGCGCCTCGAATTTACAAAGTATCAACTGTATCCTCGATGATCTGACGAAAAGGCGAACAAAAATGTTAAGTTTTCAGTAGAGCGAGCAATTGCCCTTTCCCTGATAGAAACATGAATATTCATAATCCCCAAAATGTATTCTTAAGTCGTACGATAGGGTGAGTTCTTGCTCTCCTGAAAAAAATTTAAATAGCGCTGTCTCCCATTTGTGCGAGCATCGTTGAATAATTTTGAATAATTCTCGATTAATAAGTTGTCGGTGACAAAAGCGTAATAAATTAATGTTATATTGGAAAAGAGAATTATGAAAGAAACGCAAAATGAGTGTTGTTTCGTAGGGAACGGTATCCAGGAGGTGCGAGAGGAAGACCTACGGAGTTTGAACGGAAGCTTGGAAGAGCTCCATCTAGGTCGGAACTCCATACTTCGACTTCCCCAGAGTGCATTCCGAGGACTGGACTCATTGAAGGTCCTCGATCTCAGGGACAACAACATCGTCTTCATTCACAACAATGCATTCACGGGAGGACCGAGGAGCTTGTCATCTCTCATCCTTCGTGGGAACCTCTTGACCAAGATTCCATTTGCGTCCCTGGGAAGTCAGGGATCCAACCTGGATCTCCTGGACGTGTCCTGGAATCTCTTGCAGGAACCTTACGATGTATCCTTCTTGGGAACCCTCTCGGTCGGGACTCTGAGACTGGATTACAATCTCATCAAGACCCTGGATTCCTTTGCCTTCCAAAACTTTAAATACGCCAACGTCACCCATCTAGGGGGGAATCCATTGACGAACATTATGACCGAGGCGTTTAAAGACGCCAAAATCCAGGAGATCTATTTGAATGACACGGATCTGTGTTATGTGGATGAAGATGCCTTTGATGGGCTTGGTGATGTCCTTCAGGTCTTGTTCATGGACAGGGCCAATCTCACTACCCTACCTCAAAAACTCTTGGCCAAACTCGACTACCTCCACACCCTGTCCCTATCTGAAAACCAATTGTCACATATCCCAGACGCCAATTTTAATGGCTTCCAGTTTACACTAAGACACCTAGACGTCTCTGGGTCGAAGATGGCACCCATAAACCTGGAGAATCTGAAGGAGATGAGAAACCTGAGGAAAGTATCGATGCGTCTCCCACTGGAACATCGAATTCTGAACGAGAAGTCTCTGCTGGGATTGGGTTCAGTCATGGAAGAGCTGAGCCTCGTTGGGAATGCCTTGGAAGGGATTCATGACAAGGCTTTCCTCAATCTCCCTTCCCTCAGAGTGTTAGACCTCTCCAAGAACCAAATTCGGTTGATCCACGCAGAGGCATTCGAGGGCATAGGAAGGTCCTTGCAGTATCTCAAGCTGAAAGATGGAATAAAATCGAAGAGTTTGGAGGCCCCGCCATTTCATTCCCTGACTCAATTGAGGGAATTCGACCTCAGTAGGAACCCTCTCCTGGATTTACCTGATGATTTCTTCCTCGGCATGAGGAATCTTCGCCTCCTATACTTAGACCACAATCGACTGACGCGGTGGAGCTCACAGTACGTAGCAGAAGACAAGAATCCTCTGCTCGAAGAGATTTATGTCTCCTTTAATGCCTTGGAATCCATCCCAAGCGGAGCTTTCGCCAACTTTCAGAAGCTGCGAATCATCTGCTTTTCAGACAACAGGATCCAAGAGATTGGAAAAGGTGCATTCGCGCACTTAGAAAACCTGCAGTTCTTGGACCTGCGAGGGAATGACCTCAATACCTTCGTAGACGACACTTTCCAGAACTTGCCTCGTTTGAGAGCGCTCTACGTCTCGTACAACCGACTAACGGACCTGAACCTGGATTCCATGGATCAAGTGGGCAACCTGGAGAGCCTAGAACTTGATGCCAGTCACAACAGACTGGATAATCTTTCTATTTCCCAAGAGATGAAGACGGGCTGGAACAACCTCTTCAGCATCAAATTAGTCAACCTGAGCCACAACAACATTTCGGATGTGGATCCCAAGTTCTTTCAAGTCTTAGATGAGAGCCTGTTGACACTGGATCTCCGATACAATGCCTTGAGGCATCTGAATCGAACCATCTCCGGGAACAAGGAATACCTTGATACCCTGTGGTTGGATCACAATCAATTGAGTAACATGGAACCCGACAGTCTGGAGGGGAGTCGAGACCTCCAAGTACTCAGCCTCTCTCACAACCAACTCAAAAACATTCCTGCAAGTGTTTTTGAAAGAAAGACGAGACTTAGGGTCCTGGATATTTCAAGAAACGAATTGAAATCCATCCCGGATACTTGTCTTCGCGACAATCGCCTCCAGGTGCTCAGGGGATCTTGGAATGACTTCGCTCGAGTCCCAGATTTTAGTCTTCACCCTCGACCGAGTCTCCGGGAACTGGATCTCTCCCATAACAACATCCATACTCTGAGGCCCAACGAGATCTTGACATTGACGGGCCTCATACGCCTAGATTTGTCCCATAACAAACTGGTGTCGGTGGATGAGGGAACTTTTGCCACCTTTCACAAGATCCGAGACTTGGACTTAAGCCATAATCCGTTGGACAAGTGGGAACCGGACCGATTCGAAAACCTCATGGATCTGGAATCTCTGAATTTCGCCAGTGTCCGACTTGGAAATTTCACCTTTCCGTCTTTACCCAAACTGAAATTCCTGAATGTGTCTGGAAACGAATTGGAGAGTCTGGGATCTGGTACGAGTCTAGGTCGGGTTCCTAAACTGGAATCCTTGGATATTTCGAGGAACCGCATCACGGAATTGTCCAGTAGTGCCTGGCTTCTCCTTCCCAATCTCAAGGAACTCCGTGTCACTCACAATAATGTGACTCAGTTACTCAATAACACCTTGGTCGGACTCCAGAGACTCCAGCTCATCGATATCTCCCATCTACACTTGGATAAAGTGGAGGTAGGATATTCCTGCTTTCTTAGACTTAGTCTGTCAAAATCCTTCGTGTTGTCGATCGGGTAAGATAATTTCTCTGCCACCAGAAAGAAATGAATGCGAGAATGTTCATGGCTCACCGAAAGGAGAGAGGAAAAAAGGGAACATGCCCTTGGGCAATTCGCGCCATTCCTAACGCTGTCGAATAGACCTGTTTAAATGGCATGCAAACGAATGCCTGAAAAATCCTCGTCTCATACAGATGCAATATCGACCGCAGAATAAGACATTCTTCATGAATATCCAGCCTCGCTGCAGGCAAGCCTGAATTTTCCTGGATCCGGATACATTATCTACCCTCTTGATGGATTATCCTTGTCTTCCCCCCGGATAGACCGAAAGAGAAGAAAAAAATGACGCTCTTTCCTTTAGTGGTTCTATTTTAAATATAAAAATTCTCGTGATTGCCTTTGTTCCAGTTAAATACATGTTACAATTTTCATTTTTAGACAACGCAAAACTTTGCGATGACTGCGATGAAGTTGGGCATATAAAAATCGTTCAGAAATTAATATCTTTAATGTAGTTAAAAGGGAAGGGTGTTAAGCACAAATTTCAAACCTGTTAAGCGCTTGCATCTACACTCCTACGACATAATAGGCCCCTTATTCCTCCCCTAATGTCGTAGGGGTTCTGTAAATTTCAAAGATCTGGAATCTCAATCACGGAAACTAAGATTTCGGAAAAAGAAATCCATATTTTCGGGATCTCATTCCATAAGATAAATATTTAATTCCGAATAAGATACACAGATCCACTCATCAATTATGGAATCTCCCCTGTATCTGGGGTTGGAACTTTAAGGAAGAAAAGGAAGGCCTTTACTTCGCTCATCTCTATCCATTCTCCACCGATCATGAAACTTTGCTCTTTACGCCTGGCCTAAACCCAAGAGATGAAAGTATCATCATCTTGTGCGGTTCTCCTACTTAACATAGGAAGGAAGGATTCGTAGTCGTTAGATTAAATTCTGACAGCATTATTTCAATTCTAGTCTCGACTTGGATAATTTTTTCACAATGATGAAACATGAAGGAATTGATACTCTCTTCTATGGAAATAATCAGCATAACAATAAGCAATATAAGGAATTAATTTTCAATCACAGTGGGAGGTGAAATACTGTCTAACATTTTCAAGGAAGTGCGGAATTTTTCGGATAAGATAGAAAATATGAGGGAAGAATAAACTTTTTGCAGTCTCTCCCTGATTGAACTTCCCTCCCAAGGGATCTCCAAAAACTTAGGAAAGTTCCTCCCTTTACTTTACTTTACAGAAACTTCTACGGCATACATACCCCGTTGTCGAATTCAATCCTTTCTGGATACTTCTGCGGCCTGCCTCATCAATTCTTTTGTCCTTAATAGACGGGTGCATTGGAGATATTGCCTGGTCTACAAGATCTCCGCTTGAGTCGTTGGTATCCGGGTCTGCAACTTCCGGCCTCCTTGGAGGCGATCACCCTGGATATTCGGGATTCGGATCTCATCTCTCATATTCCCATCTCCTTTCCCTTCAAGACCAACAGGATTCGTGTCCATGGGAACCAACATTCCATCACCATCCCTTCATCACTTCTCCAAGTCCGTCGCAGGCCTTCATTACGGCTCTAATTACAAGTCATTAGCCTAAGTCGTGCTTCGAATGCTCAAAGATAGGCTCGAGGGATATAGGAGTTCCTTTTATTCCCTCTTAGGGCATTTCTAGTCGGGAAGTAACGTTGGAAATTCGAGGTGGAGGGGTGAATAGAGTGGAACGGGATGTGCTGGAGTCTCTGACCTGGGTTCATGGATTGAGAGTGGAAATTCAAGGGACAAATCTCACGTCCTTCCCGGATCCTCGATCTTCATCCTCATCTCATCATCCTCATCGACTTCTTCATCTCCGGATCCCAGACAATAAATGGATCTGCGATTGTGGCATCGGGTAGGTCTGGCCATTAACGCTTCTAATTCCCTCTCTCAGATTAATTCTCCCTAACTATGAAAATGAGTTAATCTCACTCTGCCGTCAAATGGGATGCAGCAAGTTCTTGCTTAGTTTGCTTTACCCCTATTACTTGAGGGGGCAACAAAAAAGGATGGCACTGGCAGAAAAGTCTGTCTACGGAAGATCTAGCTACTAGCGACACCTCATGAGAAAGTAGAGGAAAATGAAAGTACGTGCGAATGCAAGTAGATGGACGTGTCTGGGAAGGCCGAGGCGCAAGCTCTGCGATGAACCGGTAATTGGGGCCGGGAGGGATTCGTGTCCTAGTGAACTTTTCCAACGTCCCTATATACTGTATGTAAACATCCTCTCTATCACCGCCCAAGGGATCCTCTTCTCTCCCTGTACTCTTTCATGGTCTTGCTTCATTCCATTCTCCTTCCAAAGACTAGACAGCCTAGATTCTTCTCCATCCTTGCCCTCCTTTACATTTAAATGAAAACCTACAAGTTCAGCCCCGACAAATCGGGGGATGTTACCGAATGTTACCCCACACAAGGTCGTCGAGATAATGCCAGTCCATGGAAACAATAAACCTGCGATAAAAGATTCCATCCACATTCCCTTCATTCTGGCAAGAATTCGATCGTAAAATCTGATTCCCTTCTATCCAAATTCTAAAAGATGCTTAGCAGGAAAAATACCCTCTTCCCTTGGGTCAGGTATGAAATGAAATTTCTCTCATTCTCTCTTTCACCTCCCCCTTTCTCTCCCTCACCAACCCAATCCAAAGTATCTGAGATCTGAAGACTATGATGAAACTGATACGATATCGGTTTTGGTTCTTGGTGACCAGGTGGGTGGAAGGCTGGCTGACAGAATCAGAGCAACCGTGTGAATCCATGAAGAAGGAGGTGCTACCCATAAGGTGTCCGGAGGTGATGGAGTCCCTCCGAGAAGTGAAGTGTCGGAGTCCAGTGAGGGAGAGTCTGATGAGTGCTTTGAATCGGCGACTCGACTGCCACTCCTCTGCTTCCCTTCCCCTCATCCCATTCGCTACTCTCTTGGCCCCAGCTGTTCTCTATTGGATCTGGGCTGGTAGTTGACGGTTCTTCACGAAGAAGAAACAGTGAATAATCGTGATACACCACCTCTTAAGGACGAATGACTTTACGGACATTCCCCTCTGTTTTTGTGATATCCAAGCCAGTAAAGTACATGTCCGCGTTCAGTGAGGGATCTGTACACCCGGGTTGGGGGGGCATAGGAGGTCTGTGCCCCTCCCTGAATTCTGTATATTTCATTTACTTCTATGAAATTTAAAAAATAAAAGATATTATCGTTATTTTTATATGTTTCTTTTATTGCACGATGCATCCGTTGCTCTACCGTCTTTTTCATTATTCAAGCAAACGATTGGTCACCTTTCTTAATAATTAATCTTCCATGGAACTCAACTGTGCAGTGGGCGATCGGGCCTCTCCTGGAAATCAGCACGAGATCCGCCCTATCCAAGTCCCTTGCCCAGCCAAAAGTGTAAACCTTATTTTCTCGTTACGTGGTAGATATGATTACTATCATTACGCCTTTCCGCTTCGTTTTATACCTTCGCCGCATCAAATTAAACCCTCAGGCGAATCAGGACAATTTCGGTCGGATCAGTTTAAACCTCTACCGCTTCATATTAGGCTTCGGTTGCATTATTTCATCATATTAGGTTTCAGTTTCATCACCCATGCCGCTTCAACCCATACAAATCGTTACTCCCTCGTTCGTCCAAATTTAACCGCATTTTCCCCTAATCTTTACCTTTACCTTCTGACACGTTGAAAAAGGGGAGAAAACCTTTTTTTTTACCTCAGTTTCACCGTCCCAACTTTACCTCAGGTAAAAAAAATTTGTAACGGAAATTACACGTATTAAGGCGATGCGCGTGCTTTGCCATTTCAATTTCACTTTTAGGCACTTCAAAATACACTCTTCGAGAAAGAGATGGTCAGAGGGGAGCAACCATCAACCATCTGGAAGAAGAGCGTCACCCCCTAAAAGATCTATACTTTTACTTGCCCCGAAAAACATAATTAGGATATTCCATATGAAGTTTCCGAAAGTCTACGGGAGATATCTTATGAATTTTCTTTAAAATTTGCATGGAAGTTTGCCCTGTTGATAAAAAAAAAGAAGGAAAATGTAAATACATTATGCCTAATTCACTATGCATTCACACCCATAGTTCCCATAAGGACACAAAGCATGGACTTGAACATGCTTCTGTACGAATCCCTCAGCACGGATTTATCGATATCTTATCAACTATGCAAGCTTTATGAATGTTTAAAAAGTTATGCGGGAAATGCAAAGGCTTCTCTACGAGTTTTGGAATTAATTTTTATTTTACCATCAAATGAGCAAACCCAAGTCTAAACAATGTCCGTGACCATTGATATCGAATAACATAAATACCTTTTTTCCCTTTTCGGCAAACTTAAAGAAGCACCATTCAGCTTTCTAGAGGCACACCAAATTTCGAGGGTCTGTGTTTCCTGTTACTGGTCTGGTACTGCGTTCATATGTTCAAATGAAATTATGTTTAAGTTCAAATTACTCTTGCTAGCTGGAGAGATGAGAATCAGTGTCAGTCATAAAGCATAGCACATTCTGTAATCGAAGGAGGCATTCTGGCAGAAGCTTCAGATGCTGTACTTCGTGATGGAATTTCTGCAACAATGTCATTGCTTTCTATTCATGATCATTTTCTCATTTTAGATTCAGAGCGTCTGCGTGAATGAATTGGCACGCAGAAAACATGAATTTACATTGAGTTGTGTGCTTCTCATGCATTTAAAATTCTAAGAATAAGAATGGTCCATTGGAAGCAATAAAATCAATAAAAATCAATGTCCACTTTGTCTCCCCTATGATTCCGTCTCTGAGGTGACAGGGGTACCAATCCTCATGATGCTGCGCAGGAACGACTCCCGTGATCTAGCAGGCAAGCCTATCAAACTCCACAGGGGTAAAGTCCTCTGGATATGTTCAAACGATGGTTTCAGAAGAGGATGAGACGACTTTATTTTTTGTCTTATGTTTACATATAGGCATATAGCTACAAAGGCATAGTACTCCTAAATAACATTAGAAAATGCGACAGTCTGTAGGATGACACATTTTTCTGAGTCTTCTGACTCAATGATTCCGCAATCCTTCTCAGGTCCAAAACCCAACCTTAGTCAGTCTTATTCCACAGAAAGATAAATCAGTACCGAGAAAAAATACACCCCTGATATTTGGCTGGCTCTTCAACAGTTCTTGTTCTTTAAGTATGCCAAATAAATAAAATAATTTTCTCTTTTTAATTCAAAGTCATGCACATGGTTTGGACATGAGTGCGCTCCTTTGATGGCAAAATAAAAAACGGTGCAGGAAATGCAAAGGTATCCTAAAGAGCTTTGGAGTGAGTGTGAAATACTGTATTCAGATAGCATGAATAGTTTCTTGGATATCGAGAAATTTGTGCTGAGGGGTTCGCAAATAAGCATTTTCAATTCAAAACTCTGCGACTCGTTATAGGAACTACGAATGTGAATGCAAAAATATTTGGCATAATTTTTTTTTTCAATATTCAACAGGTCACACAAATCACAAGAAAATCAATCAGATGCTTCCCACCTTTTTCTTAATTTCGGACACCTGACATGAAATATCCCAACAAACTCTCGGTGTAGAAAATCAGGTAGACCATCGCATGTTACGGGATTTTCAATTGATTAGACCAATAATGTCCTGGTCCGTCTGAATTTAATCTGAATATGGGATGATATAAATTAAAACGTAATGGATATATCATTTTAAAGTCAACTCTGCTGACATTGAAAAAGAGAGGAAGAATTGAAAGAGGCATGCTCTGGTCTTTTCTGTCTTTTCTTGGAATATCATCCCTTGTTCTATGTAGACAGACTGGAAGAGGACAGGGGACTCGAGGATAATCTCTAAGAGAAGCAATGAAGGGAAAAAAGGAAAGGGGAAAAAGGGGGGGGGGGGAAAGAAGGCTGGTTTCCTTTTCTGGCTTCTTTTCCATGATCCAATTATCTGACAAGCACCAGAATTTCTTCTGTTCTGTTGCATGGCTTCACTTGCATCCCATGGGCTTCCTCGTATACACGCTCAAACGGCCATAGGCCAGTAGACACAGACTGGGACTTAAAATCAGGTCTCAGTAAAGCCGGAGCCGTGTATGGCATGCCATGAGAATCGAGATGTGCTGAGAATGGGGATCATGAAATTCTTCGTGGGCAGCTTGCCCTACACCCTGTGGGGCATTTCTAACAAGGCTTCAGTCTTCCCTGACATGGAATCCCATGCATTGACCAGAGATTCTGCCCTCCAGGGAACTCCATCTCCTCCTATCCACCTGTTACACGCTTCCAACGACAATACTCATACCTGACAAGAAATAGAATGAAATGGATAGCCAAGACCACTCGACCTCGTGACCGGTTCCATTACTGAATCGACTTTTAAATAGGGGGATCCTTAGCCTTCGTGGAGAGGGGGAAAAAATGTCTCGTCCGTGACAGGAAGAAGAGGATCTGTGCCTTCAAGCATGAAGAGTCCTTCTTTGCCTAATGAATCTCCGAAGAGGCCAGTCACCTGAGAGATTCCTCTCATGCATATCCCCGGTTCACGCCTCCGACCTCTCGTTTCGACACTCACGCGCAACCCTATGTTGTTGGATGACAGGAATACCTAAATAACACAGCTTAAAATACAGATGATGGTGGAGAGGCTTTACCTAATCGAGAAAGAGTGAGAATGAGAGAGAGAGAGAGAACCGCGGGACCCGCATGACGGGACCGCGGGGCCCGGGCACAGGTACAGGCGTTCATGGCCAGAGGGGATGTCCGTGCATGCCTCCTCCCTGTATCTCTCTCCTCTCCTCTCCTCACCAGAGTTCATTCCCTCCTTGTGAGCCTGCCGATGTGTGCTGTGTGCGTGCGGACTGCCTCGCCTCGCCTCGCCTCGCCTGAGCTTCCTTTCCTTACCTTGGCCTTCACTTCCATTCAACCGGCTTCTTCCCTGCCTGGCTACCTTTCCTCTTGCCTCCCCAAGCTCCTACAGATAAGGGGTCTCCAACCTTTCCGCGTCCCACGGTGAGCTCACGAATCCCAAGTCATCCATGAGTCGTCATTTATCACTGCCTTCTTTATTCTCTAACTTCGTATGTGCCAGCAGTGCATGAACTATGTCTCGTGATCTCGAGTCAAAGGTCATTCATTCACGACCCGGTTCCCAGATATCAATCTCGGTTAGAAAGACAAATTCCGTTCTGCTAAAGAGGTTCATTCTCTTCTCGCTCCGTATCTCCTGTATCATCACAGAAGGAATTCTTTCTATTGAATATCATCGAGATATGGGAGTCGGAAGGAGGGACAGGAGAGGCCGATACCAACGACAATAACTCGTAACGGTTGATAGGAGAGCCACGAGTTCTTCGAAAGGCCGAGCGTAAAGTGCAGCGAGGAGCATTTCGTCCCACTTCTTGGAGAAGACGAGACCCGTTAGAATCAATGGGGAATGGAATGAATGAGGGGAAACGAAACCACCGCCTCCTGGGTTTCCTTGGCGAAGAAAAACCACTCCAACCCTCGATATGCCTCACTGGTTTCATCCTTGTTCATGTCCTAACAAAGTGGATATGACAAAATCCATCTAGTCCACAAAACGTGTGTACGGATAGTTTTTCTCCGTGAGAAACCATGTAATGATGTGAAGTTTACCGAAGACGTAGAAAAAAAAAACGAGACAGGAAGACGAACTAGAATGCGTATCCGCTGCCGCAGGGTGGAAACGAGTAAGAGAAAAAAAAAAAACATACTGGGCCTGCGACTCCTTCCTTCTCCACATTCTCAGAACACGAGTGGGATGAGATGAAAAAAAAAACGAGTAGCGGAGGAAATGAAAGAAAATGGGCGAAGTGTAAAAAAAAAAGTGGGGGGGGCAGCAGCAGAAGCATGGGAACGGAATGAGATGAATCTTTAGTGACATAGCATTTCTATTCAATTCTGTTAATCAGTTGAATGAAAGCCTTAAGCTTCTTCAGACCTCAATTCCCTCGATTTGTCTCTTTTTCTGTCTAGGCTTGGCAATTTGCATGAAACAACATTCGCACTGTCCCTCTTTCTTTCATCGAAGCAGGGGTCTTAGAACAGGGAACGGATATGCATCTAATCCTAGCCTCATGAAAAATTCACCGAGCATGTGACGCGGACACAGGAACAAGATACTGAATCAGGAATTTGGGTTGAGGTTCACATGGAGAAAAAGCACCGGTAGGAGATGACCCAT